AAAACATAACCCTAAAGGAGCACTTAAAAAATCAGCTATATAAAAATATTGGCTACTCTTGGGAGGTTTTTAATCGGTCTTCTGAGTATGGACTTAAAACTCCTGTAAGACATTATTTTAGGAGAATCAAGTCAATGGAAAAAATGTTAAGCATCGAAATTCACTACTGGTTACTAAATACCATGAAACTCCAGAGGTAATATTTAAGGGTCAAATGTGGCCTACAAATCGGATACGTATAAAAAAATTTTCGCTCTTTTCTAATTTTTTTTTGCTATACGGTGTAAGACCAAAATCGGCCAATAAACTGCCCATAACCCTTAAACCGTTGATCTTAGAAAGATGATGTCAATGTAAAAAATATTCTAAACTCAATTTTACTAGGGGTTACCCTAGGAGAAAAATCGATATATGTAATATATAGCGCTAAAATATCGGTTCAAAGTAGAAATATTGGCTACTCTGGAGAGGATTTTAATGGGTCTTCTGAGTATGGACATAAATCTCCCGCAAAACATCATTTTAGGAGAATTAAGTCAATGGAAAAAATGTTAAGCATCGAAGTTTACTATAGATCACCAAATACAATAAAACTCCAGACGTAATATTTAGGGGTCAAACATTACCTACAAATATCGGTTCAAAGTAGAAAATACAAATCAAAGTGATTTTTTACAATTTTTTGAGTTGGTGCCAAAATCGCCCTTTTAACCTCACTCTAGCCAATTGATGACAGAAGAAAAAATGTTCCTCGTCGAATTTCAGTATAGGTCTCGAAACACATGAAACCTGTACATTTAACACACAATGCTAAAATAGCACTTAAAAAATCAGCTATATAAAAATATTGGCTACTCTTGGGAGGTTTTTAATGGGTCTTCTGATATGGACTTAAAACTCCTGTAAGACATCATTTTAGGCGAATTAAGTCAATGGAAAAAACGTTAAGCATCAAAATTCACTGCTGGTTGCCAAATACAGCAAAACTCCAGAGGTAATATTTAGGGGTCAAATGTGACCTACAAATCGGATATGTATAAAAATATTATTTTTTTTTTTCGAATTTTTTGCGACATTTCCATATCAGAACGAAATCGGCCACTAAACTGTATTATAGGGGTTTGGTATCAATGGAAAAAATATTTCCCACAAAATTTCAATAAAAGTCACCAAACATATAAACTGTCTAGATATAGCACATTAGACCGATATTGACCTGCAAATCATATATATATATGAAAAATATATTTTTTTGATTTTTTATTGTAACCCTTCAATGTAAGGCCCAAATCTGCCACCAAACTTCATTGCAGGGGACTGATGTCAATGGAAGAAATATTCCCCACAAAATTCTACTAAAACCCACCCTACATAAGTACTCTCTAGATATAGTATATATTGGTCAAATATGACCTGCAAAACGGATATATAAAAATTATGCATTTTAATTTCGTTGTTTGAGGATTTAAATGTAGCCCCTCAAAAACAGGCCTGAATCTGCTATATAAATTCATTTGTTGGTATTGGTGTTAATGGAAAAAATGTTACAAACAAGATTTCCCTAAAACCCACTGAACATAAGAAACCTGTAGACATAACACATACTGGTCAAATATGACCTCCAAATCGGATATGTAAAAATAATTGTTGTGTACGGTTTTTTTTTTTTTGTAATTTTATTATGGCATCTCTTGTAAGGCCGCAAATCTTCAATAAAACTTCATTGTAGAGGATAGTTGTCAATGGGGAAAATCTTCTCCACCAAATTTTCTTTAAAGTCACCAAACACCAGAAACCTCTAGATTTAATATTTATAGGTCAAATGCGACCTGCAAATCAGATATATACAAATACTTGAAGTTTATGTTATTTCTTCAAAATTTATTGTGACTCTTCGAAATAAAGCCCCAAATCGGACACAGAACTTCATCCTATTGAATATTTGTCAATGGAGGAAATATTCTCCACAACATTATACTTAAAGTCGCCGAACACAAGAAACCTATAGCTATAGGGAATATGGGTCAAATGTGACCTACGAATTGGATATATAAAAATATCTAATTTCAATGTTTTTTGAGGTATTTTAGTGTAGCCCTCCGAAGTAAGGGACGAATAGGCCATTATATTTAATTTTTGGTTGTGGGTGTTAATAAAAAAAATGTTCCCCACAAAATTTCCCTGAAATCCGCTGAAGACAAAAATGTTGTAGATATAACACATGCGGGTCAAATATATCAAGCAAATCGATTATATATAAAAATATTTTTTTCTTTGATTTTATTTTTGTCCTTCGGTCTCAATCGGCAACAAAATTTCAGTTTGGAGGATCAATGCCAATGGAAAAAAATATTCCGCATCAAATTTCAGCGTCACCAAATAACAAATATAGCACATATTTTTTGTGGCCCTTCGGTATAAAGCCAAAATTTGCTACAGATCTTCATAGTAGGGGATTGGTGTCAAAGAAGAAAACCTTCCCCATCAAATTTCACAAAAGTTCTCCAAACACAGGAACTCTATAGATGTGACACATATAGGTCAAATATGACCTGCATATCGCATATACATATAAGAATATTTCTCTTAGATTTTTTTAATTTAGCCCCTCGTAGTAAAGGCCGAATTGGCCATTAAAATTCATTTTTAGCTGTGGGTGTTAATAAAAAAAATGTTCCCCACAAAATTTCCCTGAAATCCGCTGAAAACAAAAATGTTCTAGATATAACACATGTGGTTCAAATATGCTCAGCAAAATCAATTATATATAAAAATGCTTTCTTGTAGATTTTATTTTTGTCCTTCGGATTTTGGTCCGAATCGACAACAAAATTTCAGTTTAGGTGATAGATGTCAATGGAAAAAATATTCCGCATAAAATTTCATTTATAGTCACTAAATACAAAAACTCTCTAGATATAAGACTTATAGGTCAAATATGACCTACAAATCGGATATATATAGAACATTGTTGTTTATGTTCTTTTTTGATTTTTTAATTTAAATCTTGAATTTGAGGCACAAAATCTATTACAAAACTTCATTGTAGGGGATTACTATCAATAGACAAAATCTTCCCCACCAAAATTCACAAAAAGTCACCATGCACAAGAACTCTCTATATATAGCACTTATGGGTCAAATACGACCCGCAAATCGGATATACAAAATATTTATATTTGATGTTTTGTTTTTGATGTTTAAATTTGGCTCCTCAATGTAGGACCCAAGTCTAGCTTTGAACCTCATGATAGGGCATAGGTGGCAATGAAGATAATATTCTCCACCAAATTTCCTTAGAAGTCTCCAAATACAGGAACTCTCTAGGCATTTAGGTCAAATGTGTCTAGCAAATCGGATATATAAAATTAGTAATTTTTCAAAGTTTTTTTTTGAGATTTTACTGTGCTCCCTGTACGAAGGCCAAAATCTCTATCAAATCTTAATTTTTGGTGATCGGTGTCAATGGATAAAATGTTCTCCACAAAATTCTATTAAAAGTCACTGAATATAGAAAATCTCTAGATCCAACGCATATAGCAAAAATATCACTTCCAAATCGAGTAGAACTGAATTTCAGCTATTTTTGATATTTTATTACTTCTTCTGCTTTACGGTTAAAAATCCACCACAAAACGTCATTTTAGAAACTTGAAGCCAATGAGGAAAATGTTCTTCATCAAATTCTGCTTATAGTTGCCGAAGGTCTAAAATCTCTATAAATAATGGATATAAATGAAATCGGACCTGCAAAAAATATTAATTGAAAAATTTTACATTTTGGGTAGTTTATTGGGTCTCTTTGGTTTTTGGGTCATAAATGCCCCAAAACTCTATGTTAGGCTAATAGTGTCAATGGAAAAAATATTCCTCGTCGAATTCTACTATAGGTTTCCAAACAACTAAAATCCATAAATATAATATTTAGCAATAAAATGAACCTACGAAAAATATAAATTCAAAAATTTGACATTTTGAGTAATTTGATAGGTCTCTTTTGGTTTTTGGATCATAAAAGGACCAAAATTTCATTTTAGGCCAATGGTGTCAATGGAAAAGATATTCCTCGTCGAATTTTATTATAGGCTTCCAAATAAATGAAATCCATAAATACAATATTTTGCAAAAAAATGATCCTACGAAAAATATAAATGCAAAAATTTGACATTTTGAGTAATTTGATAGGTGTCTTTTGGTTTTGGGTCATAAATGCCCAAGAACTCTATGTTAGGCTAATAGTGTCAATGGAAAAAATATTCCTCGTCGAATTCTACTATAGGCTTCCACACAACTAAAATCCATAAATATAATATTTAGCAATAAAATGACCCTAACAAGGATCAATTTAAAATTTCAAAAATTGGATATTTCGATTATTATATGGGGTCCTTTCAATTTCGCAATCAAAACTGCCCCAAATCTCCATTTTTGGCTGATGCTAATAGTGGAAAAAATGTTCCTCATCGAATTCTACTATAGGTCTCCAAACAAATGAAATCCATAAATACAATATTTTGCAATAAAATGACCCTACGAAATTCAAAAATTTGACATTTTGAGTAATTTGATAGGTCTCTTTTGGTTTTTGGGTCATAAATACCCCAGAACGTCAGTTTAGGCTAATGATGTTAATGAAAGAAATGTTCCTCATCGAATTTTACTATAGGCTTCCAAACAAAAGAAATCCATAAATATAATATTTAGCAATAAAATGACCTCAACAAAGATGAATTCAAAAATTTGACATTTTGAGTAATTTGATAGGTCTCTTTTGGTTTTTGGGTCATAAATTCCCAAAAACTCCATTTTAGGCTAATGATGTCAATGGAAAAAATATTCCTCGTCGAATTTTACTATAAGTCTCCAAACAAATGAAATACATAAATATAATATTTAGCAATAAAATGACCCTAACAAATCAAATGTATCAAAATTTTTCAGTTGTAACTTATCTCTTCTAACAATTTCTCTCTCTCTCCCTCTCTCTCGTTTCTTTTCAGAGGAAATTGCCCGCCAACTGACATTCAGCGAAGCGAAATTCATTTTCGGCATTGCCAAGGGCTATGGTGTCCTCAAGGAAGCCTGTAAACTGGCCAAAGTAGATCTACCCATTGCCTGCATCCGTATGTTCCCCGACGAAACACTGCCCGAGGGAGCCATTGACTTTTTCGATCTCTTCCAATATTCCGATGATGTGGACTTTAATCAATTGAAACATTATGATGTTTCTCCCAACGATTTGGCCATGTTGCCATTTTCATCGGGTACTACGGGTCTGCCGAAGGGAGTAATGCTGTCACACAATAATATTGGCATTAATTGTGAACAAGTTCAACAGGCCATTCACATAGATTGTGCCCAGAAACAGGAAGTGTTGCCATGTGTCCTGCCATTTTTCCACATCTATGGTCTGTCGGTGATTATGTTGTCGAAAATTGGCCAGGGTGCCAAATTGGTGACACTGCCACAATTTAAACCTGAAGATTTGATGAAGGCCCTGCATGAATACCGGGCGACAATGTTGAATTTGGTGCCACCAATTGGTAAGTCGACATTTATTGAAAAAAAAAATATTTTTTTTTTAAATTTATATAAAAATTTTAAATATATTTTTTAAATTTATAATTTTTTTAAATTTAAAAAATTGAAAATTAAAAAAAAATAATTTGGAAACCTATTTCAATCCTGAATCTTAATCCCTTATTTTCTTAACAATTCCAGCCCTTTTCATGACCCACCATCCCAAGGTGACCCCAGAGACCTGCCCGGAACTGAGAATGGTAATGAGCGGTGCAGCTCCAATTGGCGCCTCCGATGTGGAACGCTTTTTAAAGAAGTAAGTGGATCACAGCAAATTTCTGAAAAAATAAAAAAAATAAATTTCCTCCTCCTCCTCCACTTTTCCAGGTTCCCCAACACAAAGTTCCTGCAAGGTTATGGCATGACTGAATCCTCTCCCGTTGTACATCTCACACCGCTGGACAATACCCGTTACTCTTCCATTGGTGTCTTGACCGCCAATACCGAGGGCAAAATTGTATCCCTTGAGTCGGATAATCACAAAGGTTTGGGTCCCAATCAACCCGGAGAGTTGTGTGTGCGCGGACCCCAAGTTATGGCAGGCTATTTGAAAAACGAAGAAGCCACCCGTGATACCTTCTACCCTGGCGGTTGGTTGCGTACCGGTGATGTGGCCTATTATGATGAGGATGGTTACTACTACATCACCGATCGCATGAAGGAACTGATCAAGGTCAAGGGCTTCCAAGTGCCACCCGCCGAATTGGAGGCAATTTTAAGAGATCATCCCAAGATTCTAGAGGCAGCTGTCTTTGGCATTCCCCATCCCATTAATGGTGAGGCTCCCAAGGCCTTGGTGGTCTTGAGACCCAACACAGAGGCCACCGAGGAGGAAATCTATGACTATGTGGCCGAACGTGTGGCCTCCTATAAGAAATTGGAGGGTGGCATCATCTTTGCCAGTGAGGTGCCCAAAAATCCCACCGGCAAAATTTTACGCAAAGTATTGAAGGAGAAATATTCCAGTTAATGTGTGTGTGTCTGTGTGGAGATGAGCACGGAAGGTTAAACAGAAGAAAAAAATGATACTGGTTATATGTATGTGTGTTGATTTCACAGTTATTATAACAATAAATGTAGTTAAATAGGCTTAGGATTTTGTTTAGAAAATAAGTGTTGCAGCAATCAATCCATTTGGGGAGGGTAGAATTTTCTCAAAACTATTTTGAATGTATTTTGTTTTTTTTTTTTAATTTTTTTTCCTATACAGACATGTGCATTTATATTTGTAATTTTTTGTTGTTAGTCTACTTTCTTTGTTACGTCTTTAGTTCTCTTTTATATTCATTGTATCCTATCTTCCTAGTTTGTGTATTTTTTTTTAGTTTTGAGAGAAAACAGAAAATGTGAAATTTAATTTTGGCAAACCCCAAACTAAAATGATTTAATTTTAGTCAGTTTTAAGACTTGATATGATGTTTATATTTGTATGTGTTAGTTTTTATGTGTATATGTATGTGTAATTTGCTATAAATATTATTATTATTATATAATTGATCTTGAACTTTTTTCTATATATATATACATGTATATGAAAATTATTAAAATCGATATTAACGAAAGGAAAGACAAAATAAAAGAAGATTTTTAGAAAAAAAAAAAAATATTTTATTTTATTTAATTTTTTTTTTTTTTTTTTTTTTTTTTTTTTTGAAAGAAGAAAATCGGAGGCTTCATTTGTACAATAACCCAAAAAATATATATTTTCAAAAAATAAAAACCGGTAAAGAAATTCTTAAAGTCGGGCTGGGCCGACTTTATGATACCCTACACCACTTTGCTAATTTAGTAGAGCTCCGCATAACAATTTAAAGTTTTTATGGGAGAATTCATTCATAGACGCTATAATTTAAAGTTCAAAGGTCTATATATGCCGAAGCATTTGTTTATTTTAAATTTGGACTTGTAATGCCCATTGGGTGCACAAATAATTTTAAATCGGATAAAGATATATATGGGAGCTATATCCAAATTGGAACCGATTTCAATAAAATTTGGCAAAGATATTTCTAAGCTGTATTTGATATATTTCCCCGAATATCGTTGTTACGGAGTGCATATTACGGCTGTGGGTAACAAATATAACAAATCGGATGAACAATATATATGGGAGCTATAGCTACATCTGAACCGATCTTCACCAAATTTGACATACTAGCTTCTAGACTCAATTCGGCCGTAAGTGTCAAATTCCATCCCATTTGGACAAATATTAGAGGGTTTGGTGCACCATAAAACGTAAATCGGACGAAGTTATATAGGGGAGCTATATCCAAATCTGAACCGATCTCGATAAAATTTAGCAAAGGTATTTCTGGGCTGCATTTGATATATTTCCCCAAATATTGTTGTTACAGAGTGCATATTACGGCTACGGTGGACAAAAATAACAAATCGGAGGAACAATTTATATGGGAGCTATAGCTATATCTGAACCGATTTCGATCAAATTTGGCATACTTATTTTCAGGCCTAATTTGGGTGCATATGCAAAATTCCATACAATTCGGGATGATATTACACGTTTGGTGTACAATAAAACGTAAATCGGACGAAGTTATATAGGGGAGCTATATCCAAATCTGAACCGATCTCGATAAAATTTAGCAAAGGTATTTCTGGGCTGCATTTGATATATTTCCCCAAATATTGTTGTTACAGAGTGCATATTACGGCTACGGTGGACAAAAATAACAAATCGGAGGAACAATTTATATGGGAGCTATAGCTATATCTGAACCGATTTCGATCAAATTTGGCATACTTATTTTCAGGCCTAATTTGGGTGCATATGCAAAATTCCATACAATTCGGGATGATATTACACGTTTGGTGTACAATAAAACGTAAATCGGACGAAGTTATATATGGGAGCTATATACAAATCTGAACCGATTTCAATAAAATTTGACAAATATATTTCTGAGCTGTATTTGATATATTTCCCCGAATATCGTTGTTACGGAGTGCATATTACGGCTCCGAAGAACAAAAATAACAAATCGGAGGAACAATTTATATGGGAGCTATAGCTATATCTGAACCGATTTCCATTAAATTTGGCATACTTATTTTCAGGCCTAATTTGGTTGTAAGTGCCAAATTTCATTCCATTTGGGCAAATATTAGACGTTTGGTGTACAATATAAGGTAAATCGGACGAAGTTATGTATGGGAGCTATATCCAAATCTGAACCGATCTCGATAAAATTTAGCAAAGGTATTTCTGGGCTGCATTTGATATATTTCCCCAAATATTGTTGTTACAGAGTGCATATTACGGCTACGGTGGACAAAAATAACAAATCGGAGGAACAATTTATATGGGAGCTATAGCTATATCTGAACCGATTTCCATTAAATTTGGCATACTTATTTTCAGGCCTAATTTGGTTGTAAGTGCCAAATTTCATTCCATTTGGGCAAATATTAGACGTTTGGTGTACAATATAAGGTAAATCGGACGAAGTTATGTATGGGAGCTATATCCAAATCTGAGACGATCTCGATAAAATTTAGCAAAGGTATTTCTGGGCTGCATTTGATATATTTCCCCAAGTATTGTTGTTACAGAGTGCATATTACGGCTACGGTGGACAAAAATAACAAATCGGAGGAACAATTTATATGGGAGCTATAGCTATATCTGAACCGATTTCGATCAAATTTGGCATACTTATTTTCAGGCCTAATTTGGGTGCATATGCAAAATTCCATACAATTCGGGATGATATTACACGTTTGGTGTACAATAAAACGTAAATCGGACGAAGTTGTATATGGGAGCTATATCTAAATTTTGACCGATTATCTCCAATTTCAAAAGGGTTCGTCCTTGGGGCAAACAAATGATTCGTGCAAAATTTCATCTGGATAGGGCAATAAATGCGAAGTGACTTTGTTTACAAAAATACATGGACAGACGTACGGACGGACATGAATAAATCGACTCAGAATGTGATTCTATGCAAATCATCAAAAGGAACTATGGGTCTATCTCGTTTCCTTTTGCCTGCTACAAACAAATGCACAAAGACATAATACCCTGACCACCTTGTGGTGTAGGGTATAAAAAACCACGAAATTTTTATACCCTCCACCACAGTATGTAGGGTATATTAAGTTTTTCATTCCGTTTGTAACACCTCGAAATATACATTTTAGACCCCACAAAGTATATATATTCTTCATCAGCATTAAATTCTATGTCGATTTAGCGATGTCCGTCCGTCGGTCCGTTTATCCGTCTGTGGAAATCACTCTAGCTCCCGAACGAAATGAAGAAGATTGATAAAATTTTACTCAAATGTACATTATGTCTGCGGGACTTTTGGTATTGAAAACGGGGTCATATAGGTCCACGTTTTGGTATAGCCCCTTTTATATCGGTACCTCCGGATATTCGGCATTTTGATGAATTTAGCGACATTATTCACCGGAATTGTTTCAAATTTGGTATTTGTAGTTGGTAATGGATACTACAGCCTATGACAGAAAATTTTCCGTGAGGGCAATAATATCCTGAAACCCTCTGTCACTTTAAGGCTGAAAAAAGTGTCTTCTTATTCAATACCCATTGAAAATGTTTTTTGGCGTTTTTTGAATCAGTCTGTGTTTTCTAACTCGTCGAAAGTGCAATTAGTGGAGACACAAACCATAGGGACAGAAACACCCATTGTTTCGACGTTTAGAGTGTTTGTGTCACCCATTGACATTGTTATTTATTAAGGGGTGTCAAGGCAGGTTTTTTTAATATCGAATTCCCACAGTTGGGAATTAAAAAATTAATCTGTAAACAATTGGATCTCGTCAGGAAAAAATTGTATTTCAATATATCAGATATAATTACTTGAACAGGAAAATTTCAATGCCAAAAAGTCCAGAACTTCAGACTCTTTTCAATACATTTTAAACAATTTAAAGGCTTGAGATTGTTAAAAACAAATGTATATATATTTTTGTAAAATGTAGTAGGCGTAATGGATGTTGAAAAGAATATCTAAAAAATAATTTTAAAAAATTGAGTCTAGTCAAATGTTTTTCAAATAATTCCAGATATTTTCCATAAATATAACATATTATTAAAATATTTAAGTTTCAATAGATCCAAAAAACATTTTTAAAAAATTTACGAGTTTCAATAGTTTGAAAATATTTTTAATAAAATATTTAAAAAAAATCCATAAGTTTCAATAGTTTCAAAATATTTTTAAAAAATCCACGACTTTCAATAACTCCAAAAAAAATATTTTTAAATAATTCACGAGTCTTAATACGCTCAAAAAGTATTTTTAAAAAATCCATAAGTTTCAATAGTTCTAATTTTTTTTTCAAAAAATCCGCGAGTATCAATAGTTGCAAAATATATTTTTTAAAAAAAAATCACAATCTTCAATAGTTCTAAAAAATATTTTTAAAAAAATCCTCGAGTCTCAATAGTTCCAAAAAATATTTTTAATAAAATATTTAAAAAAAAATCCAGGAGTTTCAATACTTCAAAATATTTTTAATAAATTATTTTTAAAAATTCCATAAGTTTTAATAGTTCCAAACAATATTTTTAAAAAATCCACGACTTTCACTAGCTCCACAAAAAATTTTATTAAATAGTCCACGAGTCTCAATAGTCTCAAAAAATATTTTTAAAAAATCCACAATTTTCAATAGTTCAAAAAAATATTTTTAAAAAAATCCCAGTGTTTCAATAGTTCCAAAAATTATTTTTAAAAAATTCACCAATCAACCAGGAGTTTCACCAGGAGTTTCAATACTTTCAAAATATTTTTAATAAATTATTTTTAAAAATTCCATAAGCTTTAATAGTTCCAAACAATATTAAAAAAAAAACCCACGACATTCAATAGCTCCAAAAATGTTTTTAAAGTCCAAATCCATGAGTTTCAATAATTACAAAAAATATTTTTTAAAAATCCACGACTTTCAATAGCTCCAAAAAATATTTTTAAATAGTCTCAATAGTTTCAAAAATAATTTTTAAAAATCCATGAGTTTAAATAGTTCCGAAAAAGTTCTTAAAAAATCCAAGAGATTCAATAGCTCCAATAAAATATTTTTAAATAGTCCATGAGTCTCAATAGTTTCAAAAATATGTTTTAAAAAATCCATGCAATTCAATATTTCCAAAAAATATTTTCAAAAAAATCCACAAGTTTCAATAGCTTTAAAAATATTTTCAA